TGTTTCTTTCTTTCTTTTTTTCTTTTTTTTCGCGCGACATGATCCGCATCCGCGTTTGCTCGGAATCGTTTTGAATTCGAAGCACGGAGTCTCGTGGATTGATAGAGAGCTGAAAGGAATATTTCGCCGATGTTTTAATGTTATTTTCGGGTAGGATCGGGGGATTAATTAACGGAAGCATTTTCGGTACTTCTTTGGCGGACTGAAGGGAATCTTTCGAGGTTGAAGGAAGGAATTTTGGAAAGGTGATTTTTTTTTGACAATTATTTTATACATCGTCAGCAACTGGGTGCAAAGGTCTGTGAAAATATTGGAGTTACGTGTGGATAAAATTAATTATTGACATAAGTTAATATTAAAGCAAAATATTTGCACGTCACGTCGTATCATTTCGGACCTAGCAATTTCAGGGTGCTGATAGAGAACGTGTTAACTGTACGGGATAAACTAGTTAGCAGTTACAACTTCAACTTTTATTGGTCAATGATAAAAACATGGTATTGTACATCGAAGGGTGAAAAATTAAAAATTCACAGCTGGGATATCGATTGACACCAATGTGTCAGTCACGATTCAGGGGCCCCCATGGCCGATCCTAACAAACGGATTAATTCGCAGGCCACGTTCGTTATAAGATTACTAGTGCGTAAGTACCATGCTGAAGCACCCTTAGACCCTGATAGAGGGGCGCGTTAACGCCGAGGCGGTCCCCTCCTCCAAAGACAACATCATCCTCGCACCCGCGATTTTCGCGTGTCGAGGAGGCAAGGCTACGCGGGGATCGAATGTTGCCGCATTGTCGCCACGACAAGTGCATAATTTTCGAAGTTGTCTCCTCGGTTATTCGAAAATTATTTGCATAATTTTTCGAAAAATTTTTTAAATCACTTTCAAAGTTATCATATGTGTGCTGAAAATTATCTATATAATTTTTCCATAAATTTTTTTAATAATTTTCAAAGTTATATTTGTGCTGAAAATTTTTAAATCATTTTCAAAATTATTATATGTGTGCTAAAAATTATCTACATAATTTTTCCATAAATTTTTTTAACAATTTTCAAAGTTATACCTGTTAAAAGTAAATCTGAAATCCTTTTGTGAATAGTTCTAATAATTTCGAAAATTTGTAAATTACCCGAACACTCGGTTGAAAATTGTTTAAAAAAATCTGATTGTCATTTTAGAATGGTTGAAAAATACTTTAATCCTTTACCTGACTCACTTGAAATCTCATTCGACCGAGCGTTGTTGCGTTCTAAGGGGTATGTTATTTACACTCTTTTGAGAAAGAACTTCAACCATGATTCGTTGTCACGATGATACTTGAAATCCACCGTAGAATAGTTTCAATGAAAGTGTTCAACTAGATTAATGGAAGAAGTAGTTGAAATAAGGAATACGAGGGGGAGATAAAGTTGTACGATCTAGTGAATGGTTTAACTACATCGTTTGTCTACAAGGTAAAACATTTTCCTGAAACATCGAGGAACTATCGCCGTTTGGGAATTCCGAGCATCTATTTAGAATCGTTATGCCTTGACCCAACCCATTGTACGGCTTGAGGTTCATGCAGGTTGACCTTATTTCTCGTCGATCGCAAGGAGTGCACTTATTATATGAGAAAGAAGACCCAGCAATGTATCCTTTTAAAATTCTGTATTTTATATCTTCCACGTGAACGTTTCATCTCAATAACAACAAAACATTGATAATATCAAAAATATTCAAAGATAGCATGTTCGTATTAAAATTATATCTTATTTTCCTAAAATTTCATAAAACTATTTTCATAAAATTGTGAATTTTCAATGCTCAACAATTACGTTTTAATGAAAAAATGAACACCGTGAAAAGAAGGCAAAGAATTAAGGGAACTTAATCTTTCTCTTTGGGTACATCGAAGCACAACCGGAAGCAAGTCTGGCTTAGGACGGTGTGAGGAATGGTACGAGTGCTTTCGCACATTACCCCTCGCAACAGGCCAATTAGTACCGTTTCAGGGTGTGATGTGAACGGTCATCTAACTTCCACATGTAGTGGAACCCGTTACCAAGGACAATCTGTACTCCATACGAAAAGTCTCACCGAATAATAAATATACTTAGACAAGCTTTTTTACGCTCGAATAATTTTCACGAAATTATTCACCCTTACTATACCGGAAAAATTTCTTAAATCGTGACAAATCCATTGTCTCATTTGCAAACGATCTTAAGAGAAATTTCAACACACTTCAGTATTAAAGGAAGCGTAAAACAAAAAATCGGTTTGTTTCTCTGGAAACGAGATAACGTAGAAAACTTAATTTCGATCCGTTTGTTCGACGTTTTCTACGATCGACAGGTTCATCGAACTAATTCGAAAATTAAGCACGCACAGTGCGTACCTATGCAAGCGTGGATGGATCCCTGGCGCATTGAAAGCTACATCGTGCACCGTATGTCCCCGTTCGCGGCTTAACAAAACGCGCTCGATGCGTTCGAGGCAGCGAGGGATCCCTCGAAATCCTTTAAATTCTGAATCGAACCCATCGCTATTTATCCGCTCGCAGATTTCGGCTTGTCGAAGGAAATTTGTTCAGCCAGAGGTTCCACCGTCTACCATTCCTCGTAAAAGAAAAGCCAGTGTCAATTTTCTTCTGTATCTTGTACGCGCAATAATCACCCACCGGAATAATTAAAAATTTACCGAAACGTACAATTTTACAATATTTTTCTTTCGAACTTTTACGTCAGTCACTGTTACAATTGTTTCTTTTTTAAAGTAAAATTAAATAAAAAGTAACAAGGTAACAGTTTAAATATTATACAAAGCGTTGACTATCGTGTCATCCTATATTTAACGGTGTCGTAATTTATAAATAGATGAGAGTTTTATTAAATATAGAAAAATGAATCTAGGATAGGTATACAATTATTCTTTCATCGATGCGAATTTTATTTTTTATCGGTCTTCGTTTAACAAATTTAGATCGTTTTAGAGCCTATCTTAAAAATTAGATAAACAAGCAAAGTGTTAAGACGCATCGTATTATATTTCGTTGCAACGATAATAATACAAACGTTCAAGTACTTAAAACGAAAGGTCCAACGGTATTATTCGTAACAGCGCGTATTTCGCCCCGTTTGCGACACCGTCACCGTTAAACCAGCCTTAAACCCTTCCGCTGTATATAAAACTGCCAGGCAAGAGGATCCAGTCCCGTCTTAAGATAAACTCCCAAAGGCACGTACGTTTCAATTCCGACGCGCATTAAAGATCGATATTCCAGTGGTACGCGAACCGAGCAGATTCTTCTCCGCCTAGTGTAAACATATCCTCGATACGTCCCCGTGTACACGCGGCCGAAGAGACGCGAAGAGACAGGCGAAGAGGCATCCGCAACGTGAAGGGAAGAGAAGAGGGTACCGGGGAACAGGAGAAAGATTCTCTCTTTTGCCTATATCTGTTTTCCACTTTTTTCATCCCCGTAGCAGGCTACGCTTGTACTACTCCTCTCCCTTCCCACTCCTCCACCCTATCTCTCTTTCTCTGCCCCCCGTTTTAGTGCCGCCCTCTTGCTCTCCTTCTCTCGTTCTTTTTCCTTGACTCTGTCCTACTCTGTCAACTGATGGTCGCTCTTGCTGTCCTTTTCTTTCTATCCTCGCCTCAAAATGTGGCATTCAACAGGGCTTCTACGGTGCTTGCGGTGGTGCGGAATCCGCGCCGGTTTGCCGCGCGACGCGGGGTGCATCGGGGAAATGATGCGCAGATTGGCCGGATCATCTCAAAAACCACCACCCTCTGCCTCCAGCCCTCCTCCTACTACCATTCGTCCCCTCTGATTCCTCTGTCTCGTTCTATCACCCTCTAGCCCCGTATAGCTATTCCCTACTTCCTTCTCCCTCTCTCATTCTCTCTCTCTCTCTCTCTCCCCTTCTTGCACTGTGTGTGCCCGTGTACTCTCGCACTCTCGTCGTCGACGGTCGCCAGGGATGGAATACAACCCCCACTTTCAGCACCGCCGCCGAACAACCACCCTGCCACCGCTGCCTACCACGGTGCCTGACGACGAGTGACTGAGTCCTCCGATTATTATCTCATTTGCTGGCACGAGCAGCACGCGACGCGCCGCTGTCGCCTACCCAGGATCCGTAGATCACTGCCTCTGGATCACCGCGGAAACCCCGGGACCACCAAACCCCGACGTGCAACCTGTCGCCGCGTGTACAGGTGAGTCGAACGTTTCAAACGTCGAAGATTTCAATTATCTGTTGTTTTTTATTCATCTCCGTTCGATACCATGTGGTCACCGATACCTCGACGTTCCGGTGCAGTTTTTCTTTTCAACGGTTTCTTTAGACTTGGAATTCACGTTCTTCCCTCGACTTCTTCTTGTTCCTTCGTTCTTCTTCTTCTTCTTCGTGGTTGCGCGCGAGGCGCAAGTGCGTCCCGTTTCATGTGAGTTTTAAGGGGATTTGGTGGAAAGTTGGAGAAGATCATGTATTATGCACCGAGCACTGGTGTTTTCGTGGTTTTGGTGTCGATGAAAATTGTTCTGTAATTGCGATTTCGAGGTGTGTACAGGTTTGGAAAGTTTGTCGAGAGTTCGGTCGCAACGACACGTGGAGGAATTTTGGTCATTTTGTGGAGGATTTTAATGTCGATTTTCCGTGGTAGAATAAAGTGACAGGATACATGTAATTAATCGATGATAATCGACGAAATAATTTACCATCGAGTATAATTCTGTGCTAAATGTAGATATACATATGTTATTGGATAAATGGTTGGAGTTTTTTCTTCTTATATAAAGCGTCGGTTGCGTTGAAATTGAAAGGAAAACGGATGGATAGAATTGATAGAAAAGGGAGATATACTATTTTGCTATACGTGACGGACAAACTGGGAATGATTTTACCATTGAACGTGGTAGTTGAATGGTAAAATGAGGAGAAAGAACGAAGCTGGATATATTCCGAATCAATCGAAAATTAGCATGTAACGTGAGTATGCAGTGAGTATCGCGTGTCCAGTAATAATTCATCTTGCAATCCTAGATTGGTAGTACACCCTGCTTTGAACCGTGTGTTTTCCTCTGTGCGACAATAATGATTACGCGTTCGTCATATCCCTGTTCTGTCCAATGAAACCGATGAAAAACAGTCGAAAACGAAACCAACATGTATGTCCTTCGTTGAAACGATAATTTAATCATTACTGTTAATTTATACGATAAAAAAGTGACAACACGAAAACGATGTAAAAACTTAAATTAATTCCTTCTTTATAGATCACTTCGTTTATCCTCGTTGCTTTTATCAAAATAAAACTTTCACGCAGCATCTTCAATTACACATATAAACATAATTTAACGAACAAGAATTCCAAAATTTAACTACTTCATTCGTTACAGAAATTGCGATTCGATTGTGAAACACCTCGTTTAAATTTGTCGCTTCTATCAAAATATAAGACTTTCACATAGCATCTTCACACATCAATATGACCGAAGTACTCAAAATTCCAAGCTCACCTATTTAATCTACAATGATTCGTTACGCGAACTACAATTCGAACGTAAATAGAAAAAAAAGGGAAAAAATATTAAAAACGTTCCGGTGTTTTCGTTAAAATTCGCCCGGAAAAAATTCAGTCAAACGTTCCGTCTTCCACATCTTTCACCGACCAAATATCCACAGGGAGAATCTCGATCCCTGGTACCCCTTCGAACCAATTAATCCTCCCTTTCTTCCATAATCTTTCGCAGTTATCGATTGCACCGCAATTTGTACACCCTCAGGAGCATTCAAATCCCCCGGCCGCTCCTTTAAAACCACGATACGCGGCTGGTCGCGGTCTAATCTTAACCGCCGCTAACCAAAGAGTCCCGGTTCGTATCGGCTAGCCTGTTTCTATTTATCGCCGTGTCTTCTATTTCGTTTCGTGTGCCTTTCGTTGCGTGTGCACGCCTTTTACGTGCGCACACACGACTTACGGCCGATGGAGGAGGATGAGGAGGAGGGGGCGGGGGTGGAGGGTGGAGAAGAGGACGTTCGAATTACGCAGAGAGTTCAACCGTAAAAAAACCAGGTTCTGCTGCGACTGACATTTTTTTTCTTTTTTTTTTCCTCTCTCTCTCTCTCTCTCTCTATGTAAAACGAGATCGTTCCGCGTCGGAAGTCTGGCCGCAATAAAAATGTTTATGCGGAGAGTAAAGGGATCGGCGGTTACTCGGAGGGAAAACAGGGAGGCGAGAAGGGATGTAAAGGCGAACCTGACCGTCTGAAATACCTATCGAGGTCAGAAATTAATTCGTTTCTCAGCCTAAGACACGCGAGTGAACGGGATACTACTACTATTCTTCATATTTTTACGTGCTTTATTGTCCTCCGTTGGTCCATTATCGCGGTTCCTTTTCACGCGACCTCTTATCTACGATTCTTCTACTTAATTACGCGAGCAGAGAATGAAATGCGCCTAGCGCGGCAAAACAAATCGAGCGTAAATGAAAACGATACGCTAATTGCGACAGAAGGAACGGTTTTGCCGATGAGAATTGCACCCCGTCTGCTGGGATTTGGTGTTTCAGACGAGTTATTACGGGGTACATTTTTACGGTGAAGAAACCGAAGAGGGGTGTACTTGTTTCTGGTGTGTTTTATTCTGAACGATTTCGGGGAGAAGCGTCAATGGGACGAAGGAGATCATCTAGAGATCATCTCAAGAAGAATCCAGTGTTTGGTCGAAGAATGTTCACAATGAGAATCGGACAACGTGGTAAAGACAGGAGCAAAGAAGTTGTGCGAGGAAACGTGTAAAATGGGGAAAAAATGACAGGATAAAGTGAGAAAGCAAGAACAAAAAGAGCAAAGAAATAAATGAGAAAACTGAGTTACAAATATAAAGGTACAGTAAGACTAACCAAAAATCCCAATCAAAATCAACAAATTCAACTACGTAACACAACAAAACCAAAGAAAAAAAAAATGAAAAATGAGAAAATTAAAGAAATCACGTAGAAAGCGTATAAAATATAACCCACAATAATTCCCAGTGAACGAGGTAAAGCAGACGAGAGAAGGGTGTACGAAAGGCAGAAGGTACACAAGCTGGCTAAAGTACATAAGAAAGAAAGAAAACGAGAAATTAAGATGCGCAATGGTGGGGGATGAAAGGGAAATCGTTCCATAGAAAGGGTGGATGGCGAGAATGAATTAGGAAAAGAGATGAACGTACAGCAGAGAGAACCGAAAAAGGAAGAGATAGAGAGATAGAGAGAGAGAGAGAGAGAGAAAGAGAGAGCGCGAGGGGGAGAGGGTAGAGAGGGGTAGGGCGAAACGAGAAGCGCAGCAATGCAAATATTCGCGGCGACAGAGATTGAAACAATCCGCCAATTAGAATCGTCGACGTGAACGGGATTATGCAGATTCGCGGTGGGTGCGCGGACAGAACCAGGAACGGACTGGCAGCTGCCGCACTGCTCGCTTAATTCAATCCACCGAGTTGTCTTATGAATCGTAAACCGGCCTTCCCCCGTCCCGTGAAACTGAAACTACGTCGCGAGGAGACGGCGAAGAATCGTCGACGACGACGACGTCGTCGTCGTCGAGCGACGCTGCGACCGTCCACGACGATTCGCCTCGGATGAAACGATAATGTAACCCGTAAAATTCGGAGCTTAGGACGGGTGCGAGTCATCGCTTTATTATTGTCCCTTAGGGAGAGCCTGCTGAGGAAAAGATGGTCCACGGTTTTGTGGCCACTTTTGCGGAGAGTTCTGACCTTAAAGCGTTTGGTTCTCGTGTGGAGTATTTTTTGGACGATTAATTAGGGGAAGGATCGTCTGTTTCCGTTTTTCTTGTGATCTATGATCTTCGTCCCGTTGATAGTAGTGTTATTTTAGGTTACTTATGCTTCTAAGAAGGGTGAAATGGAAAAAGCTTCGGTGACAATGATATTGAAATTGTTCAATTTTGCAGGGTTAGAATGAAATTTGTAAAATAATGTTATTCACAATTGCTTTGCTTTTATCAATTTTTTAAGTTACTATTTATCAATCGTTTTACACTTGTATTGTACTTGCTCTGAAATCTTAGACGTATAATAATTGGATGAAAGATAATATGGCTCTACGTAAATGCAGTATCATCTCTTAAAGAATATACCAGATGGAAGTTGAAGGTTGACTACAGAGGGGTAGATTGAGGAAGGAGGAAAGTGTATATCGCAATTTTTAAAGGACACTTAAATAGAATATTACGAGGGTTGCCGGTGAAAATGTGTTACCATTGACTTTTAGGGGTGGGAGAGCTCAGCGGGGAATAAATTGTTTCGTCCCAGGGAATCTCAAGTAAATACTCTCGCGAAGACTTTTCGCGAGGCTTCTTTATATCGCGCTCGGCCCTGGTAATAGAATAAAGAACCGACGACGCAATGGAAATTCTCACTTTTTGCATAATTGACGTATCCTTGGGAGCGTACCGGCACGTTGGAATTATTTTATTCCGGGGGTAATGCGATTTAAATACGAGGGACCGCGGAGGCGCCTGTAACGTTTCCATAAAGTATAGGAGAGATGTAAATTCGCTGCACAATTTTCTTCGTCTCTTTCTCTCCGCGTGAATTTTTACAACGTTACGAAAAGATAAAAAAGGGAAGAAAAAAGAAGAGCGAGAGAAAGAAATAAAAAGGAGAAGAGAGAGAAAAAGGAAACAGAGCAAACACAGGAAGAAGAAAGGATTGGATAAAATGGCCGCAACGATTTCGCGATTAATGTTCTAGAAATTTAAGATCTCCTCCGGGCCGGTGTAATTCAAGCTTGGTTAAAACAGCGGAGGGCCGGCAGAATTTCATGAGGCGGCGGGCTTTAAAATTTCCTGTTTGAGGAGATGCCCGCGATGTAAGCAATGGAAACGCGCCGCTATTGTCTTCCGCCGGTGGCATCGCGGGGGAAAAAAATCGTTTCGCGTCCCCGGGGATTCTTCAGAAAAGAGTTCCACGTATCCGCGAGCCTTTCGACTTGCTTTCGCATCGCTTTTCTTTCGTCCTGGTCACCGTCCACCATTTACCATTTAAACGTTCAGCTAAATACAAGATCGGCAACGGTTAAGAATTTTTATAAAACGAACATCAACCTTAAGAACTTCACACTAATCTACAATTACACTAATCTAAAATTTGTTAGTCTTAATCTTTGCACACTTAAATTTGTCGAAAGACTATTCGTTACACTTTTTCTCTTCGTTGTTAATTTAAAAGAAGGGCGCGAAATTTCTTTTATTCAAATCCTCCTTCAACTCTGCGTCACTTTTACATTCGTTAAATACAACTTCGTTATGAAATCTGTAGTAAATGGTAGGGGTTGAGCAATTTGTAGAAATACAGAGAAATCGTTCGTTTGACCGTATCGTTTCACGCTTGCCCGTAAAAGGAATGAAAAGATTTTCATCGTTCGATGTTGAGCAACGATAGAGACGACGGGAATTATGGGCGCGCGGTAGCGGCGGCGGCGGCGGCGGCGAAAGCACCGACGACGAGAGCCCGTATTTATCACGAAGAGTAAAACTGACAGCAGTCCATTTCCTGTTCGTCCTGCCTGTCTGGCTGAACATAATATCTCCTGACGAAACAACGTGGACGCCGTTTGTTTGGGAAACAATGGACCGAAACAATACCCAATCCCTCCTCGGCGCGCGGACACGGATGCAGACCACCATTCTGATTTCCACGCCCCGTTACACTCTTCTCTCTTTCTATCGACGGAAGAAATTCTCTTCCACGATGCGAAACACATCGTCTCTCCCGCGGATACTTCTGCAAAACCCGACGAAAGAACTTTCTCGGCCAGACGCGTTTCTTCTCCGCGCGAACATTGAGGGCACGCCGGTGTCCTTCGTTCCGTTTGTCCAAAATATCTGAGAACACTCTGGCGAAATGTCGCCCTCTGATTCCACACGCTGCCACGGGAGAACGTCTCAGAACGCTGGCAACTCGACGAATACCAGCCTGCGAGACAATAGAAACTGTCTGCCTGGCGATCTCCCTTTTTCTAACGAATTGCTCCTCCGTATCTCGCTTTTGCACGCGTGAAGCTCGTACCGGTGGGAAAGAGCCGGTTCATTCGTGCGGAGCCGATGTTGTGCTACTTGTCAATACACAAAGCTCGAAGTCTCTCGAGTAAAATGAGAAGGAAAAAATAATATTCTTGTCCGTAGACTGAGGTAAAACTTGGAGATGGAAATTCTTGTACCGTTGTGTTTTGAGTAAAATTTTCCGGTTCGGAGTCGCTCGCGTAATCGAGTGACAAATTTTCGGTCAGATAACATAAATTCGGAGGTAATTTAAGTGATTGTTTTCGTGGGTGGGAAAGAATCATTGGTACAGTGTTTGTCAGGGTGGTTGGAATTAAGGTTTTTATAAAATTACCACTTGATGTAATTTTCAGCTTCCTAAATATTATCGAATATCGAATTATTATGTTCGTTCTATTGCGCGTTTTGAAGCATGTTTAACAAGGCAAATAAAGTGGGTTTTTGATCAGTTATTCGTCGAATAGTTGTGCAAATGTTGGCGTCAAATATCGAGTACAACGTAAATACAAATGTAGATTGATTTCTGTACCACAGATTAGAGTGATAACAACTTTTAACACCACGTTCGGGTAACATTGTTAATGGAGAGGAAATCTGGGTGTGCAGTGCTTTCTCGTAGAAATTCAACCTCGCATTTCCATCCGCAAAGAAAACAATTTACTCGTGTCTTTAGTTGCACGAAGAAAAAAACAGAAATTAGAGTAAGTCGTGAAAGTGAAATCAGCGAAAAGAAACTTTAGCTTATTCAAATAATATCTTTTTATTCAACCAAACAAAAAAAAAAAAAAAACGAAGAAAAAAATGACAAAATTCTTGCATAATTGAACTAAATGTGATTTAATCGAAGAAATTATAACTATATCAATCACAGGAGGATCCGTCGGATCTCTGAAACGTTCCCTTACTAATTACTAATTGTCTCCGCCGCGATTGTTCATACGAGAGCGGCGCGAAGTTTAATTGAAATACCTACGATCGTAGATTCTCATTAACGATTTCCCGGGGATTCCTCGAGGATTCCTCGCAAGACATTTGCGCGAAACCGAACGTGCACTTGACAGAAATTAGTAATCCTTAATGGATGATGCGACGTAAGCCTTCGTCCCTTAGCCAACCATAGGCGTTGCCTCCTTGGTCTTAGGTTTAACAACGACGGATATTCAATTAATTTCAGGGGACAATAGTAGCTCGCTTCCGCTCCGACGACTTGTACATACCTACAACCACCTTTTGTGCGTTCAATTATTACCACAAACCACACGGAAGTGATGTTCCAACGTCTTACATCCGTTTAATCCTATCTTAGTTAAAGATGTTTTTTATTCTCTAAGCAAATTCATTCAGCTAAGATAGGTGTAAGACATTTCTTAGAACTTTGATAGTAACACTTTCATCATGAAATTTCTAATCGTATTCACATTTAAGTTACAACAATGAAAAACTTGAATTATCTCACGAACATTTTCCTCAAGCACTCTTTAACTCTTTTGTGATCAGCAGGACATACATGTCCCACTTGAACACTCGAAGAAAAATTGATGTCAATTTAGTATTCATTACTGACTCCATGATTGGTAGACAAATAGGAAATTCTTTAAAAAAAAGGAATCGCTCACGAAAGGGTTAAGCGTTCACAGAAATAAACACGTAAAACAACCGATAATTTACACAGTATTTGAACCACAACCATTTACTATCCACGCTTTCTAACACTTTACAATTTCTTCAGCGACCAAACCCTCAGAACCAGCAACATGACGACGACCACGGGAGATCCGTCGACTCTGAAGAGTCCAGCTTCGCTCTCCGGCGGCGACTTGGTCTCTCGTCTGCTAGCAGCCACTCCTCCCTACCTGTACAACGTGCCATTAACACCGCACAGTTTCTTCTTCAGCGAGATGCTTCGCTCGTTCGTGCAAGCGAAAACAGAGGTGTCGTCCTCCACGAGTAACACGACAAACGCACCGAGACGTCGCAAGAGATCATGGCGTGACGCTCGAGATCGTCCGTTGGAGTTAACCACGAAGGAGAGACAGCACCATCATCATCATCACTCGCAGCAACAGCAACAGGACAAATATTTTCACGCGCAGCAGCAACAAGCGCAAGCGGAGACACGATTGGAGAACAGAAGCAAGCAGAGCGACGGTTACGATCCGGAGAACAAGATAGGTAACTTCGAGCAGAAACCAAGCTTCGTGCCGGACATTTTGAAACCCATCGACGAGAACAAGTCGGATTTCAGCAAGCAGAGCAAGAGTTTCTTCGACGAGCGGCCCCGTCACTTCGAGCAGGCCCAGCCGCCAGAGAATATCTTCTCGAGCGAGTTGCAGAAGGTTAAACCGGAGGAGTCTCACTCGAGCGACCGTAAGAACTGCAACTACAACGACAGAAGCCCGTACGACGAGCGTACAAAGAGCGCGATCAGCAATCAAGAAATGCCGCCGCTGTTGACCGATCAGAAGAAGCTCGATTTCTCGAGGAACTTTCTGCCTAGTCTTCCGGGAAGAGGCTGTGACATGCTTCCGGGTGTGAAAGGATTCGGTCTACCCGGAAACGTGACCAATCCGGAATTTCTACCCAGTCCTCTCTGGTATCCGCCTTATCCGATGCCTCAATCCTATCCAGGCATCGATCCTCTCCATTTTTTCATCGATCTTCGCGTCTCCGGACACATTTGGGACCGCAAGCTCAGCGAGAGGCAGTTGCCGTTCAAAGGCAAGCATTGCTCGGCCTTCAGCGTGCCACAGTCGAAGGAGTACAACAGTAACAGGCCGTTGAATCTGACCAGGGACGAGGCTAGCACATCCAGGAGCAGCGAAGAGAACCTGCGTGGTACTAACTACATTCTGAGACACCTAACCAGGACGTACAGGGAGATTGGCCAGGCACGAAAAGCGTGCAGGAGTGAAACATCGACTTCCGGGGAGAGCGAGGAGAGCTCAAAGGACATTGATAATAGTGGGTGATCTTGTTTAACAGATTTTTCTTCGTATGATTTGGTGGTTTCGTTGAGGTAGAATTAGTTTTTGTTTCGTTGGAGGATTCGAGGTATCGTTTGTGTTATCCTTGTGTTTAAATAGTTTTTAGCATACTTCGAACATGTGACAGTAATTCATAGCACCAGTGTACGATGGTACTTTCTATGATCTTCCCTTTTTCTTGCGAACTCTCGTTCCTGAAGAGACACTTCTTCTAACTTTCTTTCATGCCATTGCATAAATTTCTTACGTTTCAAAACAATTACGAAATATCGTCGAACACAATGGAAATACGTATGCCTTGAAATTAAATTTACTCAAATTAAAGATAAAAAGGACGACAGGGTACATTCCTGAAACAATAAGTAACCAACTTACGTTATACTTACTAAATTTGAATAGAAATATTTGCCTTGTAGAGCTAACAAACAACGTTGCTTGACAAAGAGAGTGTCACTAATCGATGAAAAATTTTGTGATAAAACGCAGACGAAAGATCCCCGAAGCCGGAAGACATCGCCGCCGTCGCGTCCACGAGCCCGGAAGAAGAAAGGAAGGATCTTCGGGCGTTGATAGGGCTAGAGTTGGTGGTGGATTACGTGAAAGAGCCGAAGGGGGATACCTCGAACGAGCAGACTTCGCAAGTAACCGAATAACTCGTGAAAATCGAACGATTCTCTTTCGTTCTCGCCTGTATAAATAGATGTAGCTCCGACACTTACGATCTCGGCTGGTTCTCTCTCACTCTACGACCCATCCTCGTTCGTATAGAAACTTAAGAAAAGCAAAAGCTTTCAAACTTCTTCTACGAATCGCAGCGAACCAATCAAATTCCTTATTCTTTTCTAATCGCACGTAACGACGTCGTGAAAATGATAATAGTCAACGAAATACAATCGAATACCTTGCTATTTTTTTTTCCAAGGTATTCTCCTCGTCTTTCGTTCATCTTTATTCTCGATCTTTTTTATCATACTTTCGTTCGATCTGAAGATATTTAGAAACGAGATTTTGCACACACTTAGAATTTTTATCGGTGCTATCTATCGTATACGGAACAAAAAGGGAAGGAAGACGAAAAATGGTAAACACAGGTGAGCTGTTCTAATTTGAGAAAAAAAAAAAACCAGACGATACGATTATGTTATCGATTCACGCTCAATCCGCGAGTAACGGAGCGCGAAACTTACGACATTTTGATATCGCAGTTTAGTCACGCACTTTTCACAGGCGCACACACACAGAAATACACACACACACACACACGCCGAGTTTTTCATTCGGCAACCTGTTCTCCTTGAACCGTGTCTGTCGTTCTCTAAAGACTCTTCCTATCTTGCATTCGAGACTCGAATCGAACGAGTCAACTTCTAGCGAGGAGACAGAGGATCTTTAGAGATCCTTTCGACGGCCGGAAAAACGGCCCGCTCCGAATTCGACTGTATGTGATATGCGTTGTACATATTATAGTAGCGTTCTACTGTATCTATATGTATTAATAGAAAGCATTCGACCTGTATATTGAACGTAATAAAAGTAAATGCGATTCAATCACGTGGATCAGTTTCTATTCATTCTGCGGCGTATCCTGTTTCGCGCTGAAAATCGCTGATTAAATGTCAACGATGAAAATTCGGCGGAAATAACTTTGCAATCTACCGAGGCTGAAAATTCTGAAATTAGGTAACTTTGCAAAACATTCAAGACGAAAATTCTAAAATTAGATAACTTTGCAAAAAAACTAAGGACAGAAATTTACAAATCTTCAATTGTCAAAGTAAACATGGTGAAACGCTCGGTTACAGAGGTGCAAGACGTCGGCAGCTAGAGGAACAGCTGAAGAAAATATTGCGAGAATTCTTCGTCAGACTGACTCCGGGGAAACCATAAGCACGGAAACTTAAAGATACGTACATTTTGTATGTACGAAAGGGGGGGTCCGAATGCTGGATGTTTCAGGATAAAGGAAAAAGGAGTGGAAGGGTGACGCAGTCTGCTGCTTCTTCACCTTTCTGAATGCACGCGGCACTCGTTATAATCGAGAGTACCCTCGAAGAAACGCACACACGAGAGGAGCGTCATATTCAGCCTGATATACGGTCACACCTCTCTTCTCTCCGGTCTCTCGACGTTATTTGACTAATAAACTTCTTCGTTCAGGAGGGGGTCTCCTTCTCGCCGATCGAGATACTGTTTCCCGATTTCGTCTTTCTCTCTCTCTCTCTCTCTGCCGTACCTCGTCGATACGGCTCTCTTTGACGCGCACGTTGACAGAGCACAATTAGGGGAACCGAGTCCCCGATATGTATGCGCGGAATGACAAGAGATACGTGGCTTTTAGGGATGAGGGCAAATCTGACGGGAGATATCGATCTGCCGACTCATTTGCAAAGGCTGAATGGAAAAGTTCGCCGGCGTGTTTGTGCGCGATTAGATAGATGAAGATGCGTTTTCACCGGAGATTCCGAGACGAATATTTTCGACGTTGCAAAAGTGTTGTTCGAGAAACATTATTTGTACTGTCACGTTTTTCGTGTTTGTTGCAGATACATTTGCTGGATTTGAACTTTTAAGTGAACTATTCTCTCCTTCTCCTTTTTTCTTCTTAACGAACGTATAGTAATAATGAGAGAGTATTACTTGTTTTGACAAAAGTTTTACACAAATTTAAGAATTCAACTAAAGCTAAATTTTTCGTTATTCTCTTCTTTTTTTATTTTAATGAACGTATACCGAGGGTGTGATAAAAATTGTCGAAAATAGAAATAGTAATAATGAGAGAGTGTTACTTGTTTTAAAAAACGTTTCACACAACGTCGAGTACTCGAGATGATCTGAAAAATGAAATAGAAGAAATCTCCACTTGAACTTACAGCAAAATTTTTATTAGAAAATAACGTTTGCGAATGTTCGCACTCTATGAGAGTACTGATATCCTTTTATTGAACGATTTACAAACCTCACGCACGTCATTATCTTCAGTCCGCCTTTCCTTCACGCTTCCCTTGACAAATCGCTCAAGCGGTGTCGTGATTAGCGATAACGCGGAGCTCCAAGATCACTTCACCCTTGTTGTTCCCATCGATTTTCAGCGTTAGCTCCGGGACCACGATGATATCATCCGATCCAACTCTCTTAACAGGTGCTTCGACTAATTTGTAGCGCGTGATCGGTAGCTCCTCTTTGTTCACTTCGACGAACGGCTTTTCCGGCGCGGCAAGCGTGTACACCTAATTCGGGCGTTAATGCGACATTTATGGTATTAATGTAACGCACGGTGACGGTCGTTGATATTTATTCGTGGGAAATTTTCCAACTAATCGGATTAATCGGCACGCAGCGTTCGTGCGGCTTTAATTCGCGCCGATCATTATCGATGACTGATTTATTAGCTGTTGCAAAAAGATATTCCTCGAGAATAATTAGGAGCGTGACAAAGGAGGAAATCCTAAAGATTCTCAGTTGGTACGAATATTTTGAATAATTTTGCTGCGTAAAACCCGCGTGCAATTTTTGTGCAATCGATACCGCTTCCGTTAACAATGGAAAAACATTTACAACGATCCATTTTATGAGAAATAACGTTTACACTTGTTAAACACGTTACAAGCACGGAAAAAAATTCTTATTACCGACAGTTGCATATGAATGTTTTCAACTGTGGAAAAACATACTTGCCGTATAAATTACGCCATTAACATTCCGTTTTTTCTACCGTTTTAACATGAATGAAAATTTGTGTTATTTTTATCGCTGTACTGACAATTGGCTGTACTACAATTTTTCTTTTCTTTCAACAAACAGCGATAACTTGTCTGAACAACTGACCTTTTTAAGAGAGCGCATCTTGTTCTCAAATTCGTTCGAGTCCCCTGCGGCGAAGCTCAGATCCAAATCTCGCGAAGATTGTTCGCTTGGAACGGGATAAGTTAAGTCGGTGTATCGATTCTCGTCCAGACTTGGCAAATAGAAGACTCGTCCATTGACTGCAACCACGAGGATCGCCGAAACGATCGCGGAAATTTCCACGTTCTTCATCCTTCCCTTCGCGTACGCAAACGTGGCGAGTTGGAGGAGAACTGTGCGGTTCGACGTTGCTTCTCGATCGACGACAAAAATAATAAAACAGAACTTTCCTCGCGACACAACTGGCAGATCTGTTAATCCATCGTAAGGCGATTACAGGCCGTTCCACGGAATGAATAATTAAGAGCGTAACCTGTCAACGACGAAGAAACGAATAACAATTTGCCTCGCGTCGACCAACGAAGGGGATAGTGTCCTTTCTCGATCAGACAGTTGGATTACATCGAAGAACGGAGGAGAGTGTTGCTTAATTATTTTACATTATGTTTTTCTGTTTAATCCTTTTCAACTTATTTTCATAGATCAATTTTTGAAAAAATGGAATAAAAATCGTGCTCAATAATATATTCATACTATCTGTGGATTCGCCTCGATAAGTGTCAATTAAATTAATCGGTGAACATGTTTCGAAACATTTAATTATAAGAAAGTTGGAGTCGATTCAAATTTCCAAAATCTACGACTTTCAATAATTTTATTTAAAGTCCACAAAAATAAAAAATCGTGTGCTTCATAAAACGCAAAAATCCGTACAGTACGTCGAACCCGTATTAACCAAAATTAGCAAACAAAGACTGCCAGAAAGACTCACCTGAATCACATTCCCAAAAATGTGATTAGTCAACTTCAGCCATTTAAGTTTCCCCAATCCCCCAGCATTCTCTCTCTCAAAGTCCCTCTTATTTTCACCTTCGTAAAACTTACCGCTAACAGCCAATAAAAAATCATCGCTGTAGCAACCAACAGATAAGCCGGTGCACGGACACCTTGTGCAACACTTGTGCGCAACATTAACACGGAAGGAGGAGAGACAGTGCCACGGGGAGAGATCGAGCGAGAGGGAGAGACAGAGACGCGTAGAGGGAGAGATAGAGGCACGCAGAGGGAGAGACAGAGAGAGAATATTAAGGGAGAAATTTTTAGCTGCTCCGTCAGCGGGTTTTACATTCCGGTTTGACGGTTCCCTGCGAATGATCGTGGCCGACCGATTATGAACACCGAGGTGGAAAATAAATCGCGGAACTCTAAGCTGGGAGCGTCGCGCATTCACCGCGATGTAGATACCAATAGATCCCC